AGTATGGGGAATGGTGGGAGAGCAACAATGAGCAGGTAAGCAAAATTGTGAGTGGCCTGAGGTGGTGTGAAATAAATGTATGCAAGCTAGAGGAACAAGTGGCTCCCTGGACTGTGTCTTGCTGAACATCCCATAATGTGTGTCCAAACTGGGCCGCCATTGGGTTTCTGTGTTGTTTGATTGGCAAAACCMAGGCCATCCTAATGTAAAGGAATGGGAGCCTCTTGTCCCAGGTGCTGCTGTTTCTCAGGGTTGTGCGCTTTGCATGTCTGAAGCCTTAGCTAACAGTCAGTTCTCTCTAGGGTTTTAACTTATTGGTCAAATGGTTCTGGAGTTTGCAAAGTGGAAGAAATTGGAGGAAATTTACATTCCAGGACTATACCACTTAAGAAAACAAATGCAAAAGTTTAGAACTGGTTTGAGGGAAGGACTGCAATTAAAGGACCATGCCAGCCCCTGATCCTAAACAAGCCTGGAAATTAATCTATGTTGAATATAACAACATMTCAGAGCCAAGGGCAAATACCATGCCAAACCAGTGGACTGTAGGGGCAAGAGTTTTCTTGAAATGAAATCAGGAAAGCTAATCCTCCTCTAACTACTGTAGCTTTGCTGCTCCTTGACTTCTTTGTGTTGGTGGTAAACACTCCCTGTTGCTGTGCTGTGCATGTTCTTTCATACCAGGCACTTCCAACTGTGTTGAACCCAGTGAACTGGGGTTTTTGGAACTGTAAGCATCAACTGAGCTGTGTTGCATGAAGTGAACGTGCTTTTTTTGCATGGGACTGGGTTTCAAGGAAAGGGCTCTGAAGACAAAGGCCATCAAGGTTGTCATTAAACAAACAGTTCCAGAATGCTAAAGGAGACTTAAATTGAGAAGTCACTCACCAGAAATCAAGCCTCCACTTCTAATTTGTTGTGGTATTTCCCAATCCAGCTGTGGTACAGAGGTATGAAGGGAAAATGTTGCAAATTAACCTGGATTAGAGAAAAGAGGAAGGCCAGGAGAGAGTGTGTACATGTGCTGTTTGCATGTGCTGAGAGCATCAAGCCGCATAACAAGAAAATATTTGAATCCTGTTCAAATTTTACCCCCAAACATGTGTTTGCTTCCTCAGTGGTGGGCTCCTTCCTTTTTTCAAAATAATAACTCATTTTCTCCAAGAAACTCTGCATTGCACAGCTGCTGTGGAACTATTCACAAGACAGTCTTGTGAAAATGGTTCTCAGAACAGTGCAATGTACATAATTTGAATGATCATTCATCACAGCCCTGGCTAAATTTAGCCAACTTTGTTCATGGCTTCCAGTGACAAAGTACTGAGAGAGTGTGTACCCTTGCAAGCACATATGTGTGCACATTGGGATACTATTGGCCTTCTGCAACAGTCCCTTTATACAGCTGTCTTAGRATGTCAAAATATCTGGAAGATGGGCCTCAATGGACCAGTTTGTGGGACTAACTTAGCAAGGACTCCTGTTAATTTAAGTATGAAAAACTGACAGAAAAATCAGGCAGACAGCATTGATGTAARGTGGACAAAGTGAAAGAGATTGCATCAAGTGAGAGCTCCAGGGCTCTGTGCAGAGTAACTTCTGATTTGAAGATTAAAACTAGAGTTTCTGAACCTAGCACACCTGGCTGCCAATCAAACATACTAGGAAAAAATCATGAGTGATGTAAGCTAGGCATCTGTCCTCAACAAGTTTCCTAGATCATTTCAATTTAGTCAGAGCAATAAGCTGATATTTCAAAACAACCCATTTATCTGGGAAACAACATGGGCTGTTTGTGGCAAGCATTAGGTCTTAATTATACCATGTAATGTTCTTAGGAGTGTTTAGTTAATGCTTAGAATGCTCACATCTGAACTTCCAGAGATTGGATTTGCTCAAGGTTKTCTTAACTGAGAATGGGGGTAGGGGTACAGAGAGAGTGGTATACAAAGTGAAAGGAACCCCAGATCAAACAGACCAAGCTTCTTTGACTCAGGTTCAGATCTACAAAGGTAGCCAATTCAATATATCTACTCCAGAAATGGTCCAATTTCTTCTCTAATAGCAAGACATCATTTAACTTTTGTTTCCTCACATTTTGGGGATATAGTCAAGGTAAAGGCAAGACTTATTACATTGATATATCCTGGTAGGAAAGAAGGGAATGGTGTGTGCTGTAATTAAAAACATTTTGTTGAAGTAATGACTTCAATCCCACGAATAAGCAAAGCTAATTGGGAACAGATGATCCTTTCTTTCTAATTTCTCATGTCCTTAGCAATCAATAAAACCACATACACATACCCCCCCCACAGAGAGAGAGAGAGAGAGAGAGAGAGAGAGAGAGAGAGAGAGAGGAAGAGAAGTCATTCAGTACTCTAAATCAACTTTCCCCTTAAAGAAGAGAGAAGGCCTGGAGACATACAAATAGACCAAAATTCACAAGACCTTTGCATTTTTACTTTTTCTAGCTTCATATTTATTCATATAATACACATGAATTTGTTCACATATATACACACAATGACATTTAAACAAGAGAAATAAGTTTAAATTAAAGATTAAAAGAATATATGTGAAGGAGACAACTTTTATGAAAAAAAAGTGTATTACAGAGTTGCAGAAGTTAATCCTAATTTACTTACTCTGGAATTGAAGAGATGGAAAAAGAATAACTGTATGCATATGAGATGTTTATAGATGCTTTTAGTATTATGTGACAATTCTTTCTTTCTTATACGTCCCCACACCTTTGCTAATTGCCTTCCCTGAACATCCAGTTCCAGGGAGGGACAAAGTGAACCTCAAGTAATCACAGAACACCTGGAGTGTTGCTCTGTGTCTCATGGGCCTTAAGTTTACTATGATGAAACTGTGGAACAAACAGGACTCTGTGAATTCAGGTGTGGTGTAACTGTCCCAGAGTCAAGTTGGCTAGTACTAGTAAAACCTTCCTAGAAGTCTTATACTGTATCTTATCTCTGTCCGGTTTCATAATTATGAAGTATTTTGTATTTTTGTCTCATACTGTGTAGTTGCCTGTATCTTCTCACTAACCTTGAGATTTTTCAGGCAAAAAAAAAATTAATCTTGTTCACTTATGTTTTCTGAATTCAAAACTGCTCTGGGTCCATTCTTTCAGTCAATCAACCAGTCAATAAAAGAACAAGAACCTTTCTGTAGGTAGGCAGCAATGTTTTAAGGACCATGGTATATTCAGAGAAGGACACGATAATGATAATCTCCATCCTAAAGATACTTATTTTCTTAATAAAGAAAAAAAAGTCTAATAGAGACTGTAGGAGAAATTGTTACATTAAGATGTTCAATCTGAGATGTGGATAATATAAGCTAGATTTGGAGAGGAGGGAAAAGGAGAAGTAACATGACACACAGTTACAAGATCACATTTCAAGAATTCCAAGAAGAAAATTTCACAAACTATTCTAAGGAACACTAGACAAGGTGCAGGGTGGGTGGGAAGCAGGRAAGCCAGTAGGGATGACAATAGCAGAGCCCACACCACATGCTATCTGCCCTTAAGAGACTCTCAGTGAATTCTTACATAATAAGTCTTGAGAAATTAATTTTATTTTGTTTAACCTAATTGATCCTGTAGCCATTTATTCAAGTCATCTGTTGTCATTCATATATATATATATATATATATATATATATATATATATATATATCTTATAATAAATCCTTGAAATATTAAAGCAATTTCCCAAAGAAATCTTTCACAAGATGGCAAAATCTCAGTCTAGCTGAAGTTAGAAATCATTGACTTTACCAAGTGTCACAAACATAAACCAAGTCCCTAATTCCCTTTGCTTATTTTTCTAAAAGAATCACTAATTACTGAGAGTATATTGCATTCATGTGTTATTAAATTTGGCAATCATCTCTTCAGCCTATGAAAAGCAMATGACCCTCTGTCTCAATCTCTGTTCAAGCATCTTCTTGCCTAGCACCCTTTAAATTGAGAAACAGAAGAGCTGATCAAAACCTTCTTGAGGCTGCTTCCCTCCACTGTCAAATATGTATTTGGCAAATATTTCACACACACAAACACATGTGCATACACACACAGAGTTTTTGTAAATAACTCAGTAGTCATATATATATATATATATGACTATTTGTATATTTGTATTTGCTTTATTTGAAACAACAGATTAATATCTTATGATTTCCTGTTTTAAAAAAGAGAAAATATACTTTATTTGACACAATAGATTATAGCTTCTGATTTCCTGTGAAGAGGAAGAAGAAAATCAAAATAATTTCTGATATAACAAGTGCCAAGCCAAAAAGGGAGCACCCTGCCAAATAATCAGCAAGTTCAAACTTGTCTGCATTAAGAGAAGAATGTGTGAATTTTGAAGGATGCTTTCTACTTTTAGTCTCACCTCAAGATATAGATAATATCTTGCAGTTGGGTCCACTTATTCCCATTGTTGTATTCATATTAGGTGGGTAATCTAAAATATAGGCAAAAGTCAATGTAACAAAACGGAGTGCTCTAAAAATTTAAATTGATCATTTCATCTAATTCCATGTGTCATGAGTCATTTTGAACTGATTCAACTCAAGTTTATTTATTTTTAAAACATTTATTCATCACTTATGCCTAAGTCAGTGTGTCTCATACTGGAAATTCAAGGAGAGATGAAATAGGCTTTCTATACCTAACCTTTTTTTTTTACTGTTGTACTTCATATTCCTTGGATTCATTTTGGAGCACTGCTCTGTCATTTATTTTGACTTGRGTAACTTGGTTTAGTTCCATAACCTAAGTTTTCACATCTATAATGCAGGTTAGTTTTATAGGGCTGTGGCTTCCATGATACTGAGGTAGTAATGAACCCCGCCAACCTCTGATTCTTGCTATCACACTGGGAAGATTTCATACATGTTGTTCAGAATAACAGGCATAAATTGATTAGAAGGGATAGGAAAGGGAGAAAGAGGACACGCTCAAGGAAGAGAGTAGGTTTTCTTAGAAAAGAGAGGAATAGTGTGGCTCTCCTGCCAT